CGATCAACCATCGCCTCGTCTCTCTCTCTCTCCCTCGTGTCATTGCCCTTCGGCAGCGCCCGTCGTTTTTCGCCGCCATTACTGGCACCCTCGGCGGCTTACCGTCCGTTAATCCGTCGGTCGGTCGTCTTCGATCTTCGAATTAGGTACGTCGACATCGAGAGCGTATAGACGTGTGTTTTGATGCTGTGCCTCTACACCAACTCAGTTGTGTGTTTACCGCCAGTTTCTCAACTCGGGCAGTTTGAGTCAACCGAGGTCGTCCTCCTCCTCGGTTCACTGTGCTCTAACGTCGTGTTCTGGCGCCGCTACCTCGCCAGTTTCTGCACGGTCCCTTGTATATATCACTTACGCTTACGTTTCAAGCCCCGTCTCTTGAGTGTCGTCGGGCAGTGAGTGCAACGAACGACAATGGATTCGACTTGTCTCTGTACGAACTTCTTCTCGTTCGACTACGTTCTTGTCTGAGTCGCTCAGATGCGAGACATAAACGAATCGCCTGACGGAATTTCGGAGAAGTTCGATTTGATTCGTTGACTGATTGATACTGATGTGTATTTCTTAGGAGAACCTCGGGGTGTAGGCGTTTGCACATGTCGGAAAATAACTGCTTTTGCCAGCTTATCGATCAGCTGGACGACACCACCGAACTAAGCCCATTTCCGCATTGCGCTTGAAGCTTATTGAGCATCGCACCTCGGATGGAGTTCCTACACCAGTTGGTGTTTCTGGCCGGAACTTCATTCTGTAACGTTTCCCACGTTTAAGTGCGAATAAGCTTTCTCTACTAATGCATGGTTTATCTCGATTGCAGTTGTTGCTAAGCGAAAATCCGGTTTGCAGTTTTTTTCCAAATCACGTGTGCAAACGACGTTCGAAAAGGCAGGGAGCTGGTGGAACGCACCTGCATTTACGAATATTAATGAAGAGTACAACTCAGTTGACGATGTCGTTTCGTCGTATCCGCAAGTCCCCCAACTTTCAGAGTACTAAACAATGAACTATGGCTGGAAGCAACCGCTCCTGATACATATGGTGCCTAAGACACTTAGTGATGGAAACTGGTGTACAATACATAACCTCTTTGCTACGATCCAGGTTAACAGGGATCACACACCATTTGTGTGCCAGGATATCTAGTTCATTTCTCGCATCAGTAAAATCCGTCCTGCTGAAACAACTGAGCGGATCGCATCAGCGACCTCCGTCACTCAAGTCCATAGAGGATCGAAAAGCCGCCGATAAACACGGAAACGATACGCATTGTCAACACCATTCCAAGCAGCACTGGTGCCTTCTCTTCTTCTCCTCCGACTAAGTGGACAGAAGTGTCAGGA